CCAACGGCCTAACTTGAAAGCTAATTAATGGATTTGGTACGAATGGATTTCGTTTTTGTCAGACCATCTTCGGGCCTACCCATACGGCCTATCTATCTTCCCGACACTGTGTACCGCCCATCTTCTTCGGTTCTTCGTAGTACCCTGATTTCCTCCTGCTCATTACGGGAAATTTTATTTCTTTAATATTAAGCGTTAATATAAAATTCCGAGCACAGGAAAATATCTTCAACACCGCCATATTCTCTTATCCCTTCAAAAAGCTCCGTTCCTCTCCTCCCCTTGACCCACATCGCCGTTCAATCTTGATCCGCCGCCGCCACAACCCACATGCCAATAGTTCCTAACAGCGATCCAGATCCGCCGCATCGCCGCCGCCACGGAATTCCCATCAACCGAGATGACCCGGCACAAGAGCGGCCGCCTAAGCCAAACGCAATCTCCACCCCAAGAAAGATCCTTTTCGTGTTCTTGAAATGCGCCGTCATGGCTTTTATTCTCTCCCTCTTTCTCATCTTCCTCGGATTCGCCGCCGTCATCCTCATCCACTTTCTCCTCACCACCACCGCCTTCCGCCGCCGTCGCCGTCGCCGAGAGCGACATCCCGGGAGAGCCGCTGAAGGGTCTCCGCCCAATTCCGCACCGGATCTGATGGACCGCCTGCCCTGCCTCAGCTACTCCTCCTCCTCTGGCCTGATGGCCAAGGATTGTGCGATTTGTTTGGACAGCTTCAAGGAAGATGAACGGTGTAGAAAGTTGCCAGCTTGCAATCACTTGTTTCATATGAAATGTGTGGATTCTTGGATCGGGAAAGTACCCAATTGCCCAATTTGTCGGACCCGGGTCGAGTTAGATTCCAGTGGATCCAATTTGAGCAATGAAGATTGGAAGACATGGTGGGTAGTTGGTGTTTGAACAGGGTGGAAACCTAGAATTTTGTTCTGTAGTTCTTTTTGTGTGTTTTTTGCTTTAAGATAGACACCTTTGAAATAGCTTCTGGTTTCTGAGGTTTCCTTTCTCCCCTTTTAGCTTTCTTTTTCTGTCATGTAAAATATGTGCTGGTTGGTTTTTATGTCAACTAACAAAGCTTCAAAGAAGTTCAGCATTGACTCTGTTTGATTTCCTTTTCATGGTTATTGGGTGAAGCTGAAAAGTGCAGTTAAGATGAAAAGTGCAATCTATGGCTACCCTTTTGGCTCCATGCCAGGTGCTTCTTAGATCCGCCGGCTGCACGATTGGGTGATGATTACTTTGAACAAAATGAAGTGTGCAATAGATTCAGTGAACTATATCTAATTGTTCTAATCAGTGTTATCAATAGCTCCTATAGGGGTATAGCTGAGTAGCCGTGGCTAGGGGCTATCAAATTGCCTCATCGTAGAGTGGTTGGATATCGTGCCTATAGCCTATAGGAGTGGTAAGAAAAATGGTGGCATAGGATATGAGATAGAGTCTCTTCGTTCTTGTTGTACCCACCAGGTACACTCTCTTGTAAATTTGACTGTGTACATAGGCAAGGGTGAAAAATTCTGCCTTCTTCTTAACGAATTGTCTGTGTGCACAAACAAAATAGGGGGTGGGTACAATAGTGAGTACAAAAGTGTGTACAAAAAGAATTTTTGTATGAGATATCATTAGAGATAAGTCTTAGGTTCAAATCTATGAGAGCATTGAAGATAAGTCTTAGGTTTAAATCTATGAGAGGTTACTATGTAAAAATGCACAGTGCAAGTATTTAGGTCAAAATTTCACTCGCTGTCTTTTAGCTAATGATTAAAGTTCAATTTACATCATCTCAGCTAATTGTATGGCCGGTGTTGGGACCCTCAGGGATGGAGTATCATCCTTTTTAGAAGAAAAATGTTAAGTGTAAACATTTTTATGTACACCAATCACATACTTTGTTTGTTTATACAAACAGAGTTTATACAAACAGAGTTGTCGGTATACAAACAACTTCTATATTTCCAGAAAAATTGTTTGTATACTAACAACTATGTTTGTGAAGCGAGACAAGGTGTGTTAATGTGTACACAAAAATGTAAACCTAGCATTTTTGTAATGAGAATTATATCGAGGATGGAGCGATGCCGGTGATGCTGGGTTATATATTTTCACCCCCATCCCATCAGATTTTGCCAACTTTTCTTTTTTGTTTGTCTCAACAAACTTTGGCAGTATCCTTTTAAAGAATTGAATTTACAATTCTACCTATTTCTCTCTCCTCTGCACAAACTTCAATCAAACAATTTTTACTTTTTCTATTTTTCGCTTAACTTAAAATTGACAAAGTCCAACAAGATAATAGTTTTTTAAATCGTCAAAACAGATAGTTTAAATTGATATCATAACATTCAGATATAGGGGGTAAAATGACAAAAGGACCACATGCAACCGTCATCCCTCGAACCAGACTTAGAGTCAATCACCTCCAAAAAAGTAATATAACTCAATGATCCTATATTTAGCTTAAATATGACAACGACGGTTAAATCATACCTCCCATCACCCAATCCTAATGCAAGAGTCTTACAATAACAAAAGTAATCAATAGAAAAAATAAACAGTGTGATCATGAAAAATAAATAGTAAGCATACAACATAATTAAAATACTTCTTCCAAATCCTAAACTCTCCTGCACTCCATGGCGGCGGCTCAGGAGGGGGACGGTCCAACAGTATTGAAGCATCTTCCACTCCTTGCCCGGATCCCTGTTCTAAACCGATTGGAGATGAAAAATCTGGACAGCAGACGAAAGCCGGGCGGCTTTTGCAAAAGGTGGGCGGCTTTGGTGGTCTGCAGCTACGAATAGCTTCCCTTAAGTGGTGGTTTCCGGTGATTTCAACTCCTATCGATTACACGACTCTTCTAAGTTAAATACCATCACTTTATAACATTATTCTACACTTTTAAACGTGTAGAACTTCATGTTTAATCCACCATATGATTTCTAAAAATCATACAAAGATAATACTAGTTAAAGAACTACTCCGTATATGAGTTTGATGAGTCCGTATTTAGACACACATTTGATGCGTGTTGGGATCAACTTTTGATGGTTTTCCTACCTTTAAGGTGTTACAAGTCTCAATTTTAGCTCAAGTTATGTTTACCTGGCGTTGGTTCGAGTTTTGTTGCATTTGGAGTCAAAATCAGGATTTTTGAGTTCAGCACTGGCACTTGAGAAGCAATCGGGATGATTTGAGAAGCATTCAAGATTGATTTGAGAGCTATGGAAGTCACCGGAAGGTTTACGATGAAGATTTGATGACAAAAGAGTTCTAGAATTGGCTTCGGGATCAAAAGAAGATGAATGAAGCTTGAAAACGACGATCAGGATGACCTTCTGTCAATCGTTCAAGTATATCTCTTTGTATAAACCACCAATGGACATGAATTGAGTTCCATATGAAATCTAACTTCAAGGGCTATAAATAATATCAAGACACCTTTGTAAGAATATGAGAGAACGAAGGTGAAAACAGACGATGAAGTCATATGATCTCTGTTGCGATTTCAGAACGATACCTTCCGCCGTTTTGATCATATCTCTTGATTGGATGATTCAAATCACATTCGGCAAATTGGGGTGGATATAGGACTTCATTATCTACAACTTTCATGAATAAAGCCTTGCCAAATTCGGAAGTTAAGTAGGCACGATCGTGCCCTCGAAGTCAGGCACGATCGTGCATGAAGAGAAAGCATCGCGGAGTTACTGCCAGCCAGGAACGATCGTGCCTGGAGGGAGGCACGATCATGCCTGCCCAAAATGCGCGTTTTTGCTCCGGAGGGACGATCGAAGGCACGATCGTTCCTGACATCGTGCCTGCCTCCGGAAACCCCAATTCAGCTCAAATTTCACCCGATGTTTCTACTTAAAAAGCCTGTAAACCCCCGTTCTTAAGGGGGGAGCTTAGAGAGAGTGCCTAGCACGAAATTTAGAGGGCTTTTCAGCCTTGTTCATCAACCTTTTGGTATTCTTTGTAAGTTCCATCTTTTTAATTAATGACAATTAATTCTATTCTTCCCAATTCTTTTGATTCTTCAATTATGAAGTGTGAGTATTTTAATTAGGGATTGAGATTGATGAAGGGGTTGATCATGATGTATGGCTAGTTTCTTGATGGATTAATTGCATGAATGCCGTTTAATTTGTGTTTGAATAATTTAACTGATATCTTTTGTAACCTAGAACGCGTGCTAGAATTACAATTGCATGTAGAATGAATTAAAAGAGATCTAATTTGTTCTAGAACACATTCACACACACTTAATCGTTCACTAAGAGATTAGTAGCGATTATGGGTTCGCAAGCTCGCTCGTCTTGGCAATAATTTAGGATCCTGTCCATGAGAGATAAGCTTGGTCTCCTAAATTATTGTACTCTACGCCGCGAGAGCGGTAAAACTTAGTAATGATTAGCTAGGCTCAATTAAATTAATTTCATGTAATTAAGCCTGATCTGCCATAAATCTGGATACCCCGTAATCAATCCTTGTTCCCTTCGTCATTAGATAGAAAGAACCCCCTAGTTTAATCGTTTTATTCGCATTTTTATTTTCTAGCAACCAATCTCGCACGACGCATTTTTATTTATTTCTTTTTAATCGCTGAATTTAGTTAATCTTTGATTCCCTTTTGTCCGTCCCTGTGGGAAGAAATTCCATTTTTGGTCCTTCGAGTTTTGCACTAATTCCACAATTAGTCCTCGTCTTTCTCTTTATCCATTTTTGGTACCTGACTATTGTTTTCTTGACCATATATAGTCCTTTTCCGGTATTAAAAATGCTCAGAGATGGACCGAAAATGGTCAAGAAAACAATAGTCAGGCACCAAAAATGGATAAAGTGAAAGACGAGGACTAAATATGGAAATGACACAAAACTTGGAGGACCTAAAGTGGAATTAATTCGTCCCTGTGGAGACGATACTCGTACTGACACCACTATATTACAATCTATTTTAAGTGCGAGAAAACAAACATCAGAGTTCTTACCTTCCTTCTAGCTACTTTTCCCTTGGGATTTCCTTGCTCTTTGCTTCTTCCAAGCTAGTTGTTGGTGAGAGATATTCCGAGAGCTCTTTCTTGGCTTTGGTTTGTGCGTAAGGCTCAAATGAAAGGAAAAGTTATCTTCACTCCAATCACTCTTCCAAATAGTGCATGAATGAGATATGGGTGTGGCTTTGTCTCTAAGAGACTTCCCCCCTTGTTCCCATCCGCCCCATATCATTCATCTTTGTCTCATTCCCAATTATTTGGGTCAAATTAGCTTACAAAATATCCCCAAGTGGGTGTAGAAAGTCCCTCCCAATCATTCCTGCTATTTTTGGCAGGTTGGGCCGAAATAGCACTTGGGCCGCTCGAACGTTTTCCCAACTTCGGTTGGCATTTTATTGGATTTCTATAATTATTACGATACCCCAACTAATTATTTGGTAGGCCATTCTCATTATTATGGCCCGATAATTAATTTAATTAATTACGCATTAATTAAATATACCAATTCTGTTACAAGATTTTATTCGCTAGAAAATTCGAATACTTATCAAATTTTAAATTCAAGTACATCCGGGTGCGGTGTCACGTATATATGATTTATTTACCAAGGCCTGTATGAGGTGCTTATCAATGTGCGTGTAACAGAAGCAGGGCTGTTTCACTTTATTAATCTTTCTCGTTGACTTTTGTTTTATTAAAAGAGTTGAGTAGTCAAGTAATTTGTGATCTGATGACATTACGGTAATACTTTCAAGGAGGAGGTCACATGTTTGAATCTCATCGCAGTTCAAGGATGTTGGCCTTAACATTGAGCAAATACTATATAGGTTAGAAAGAATTGTCAAAAAAAGAGCCGAGTAACCTTTTACCCCCTCCGTCGTGTTGAATTTTGTCACCTTTTATTTTTTGTTTGTTTAAAAAACTTTGCTACTTTGCTTCAAAAATAATGTTTGTGATTTTCTTTATTTCTCTCTCATACGCGCAAACCTCAACATAAATTTTTATTTTTCTTATTTCAAACCCAACATATATAAAGTTGGCAAAATCCAATGGAACAGAGGTAGTATTGCATACATCGGAGTATGTAATAATCAAAATAAAAAATTTTAGCCCTATCTCCGTTCTTTTTAAATTGAAACAATTTAACTTTTATGTTTGGCAATGCACAACTTTGACTGAAATTATATTTAATTACGTATTAGTAAATATTATGGATACTTAATATTTTGTAAAATCACATTGATAAAAATGTTATAATATCTTATACCTAATAAATTGATTATATAAATTGGTAGAAAATCGCAGTCAAAGTAAGGTGCGTGAATACTGCAAAAATCATAATGTTGTAACTACTAAAGAACGGATGAGGTATTATTTTTCTAGCTAACATAGCTTAAATAATTGAATAGAATTGTTTTATTTATAGTTCAGTAATTATGTCGCTTCAGCTAAAATTTCTAATCAATTTCAATAGGAAAACAGTATATAAACATTTTGGGAAAGTGTCTATATTGTTTTTTGGTAAATTTCAACCCCATAACTTCAAGTTTTTTAAACCATTAAAAATGTAAACATGACATGATGAGATCAGATTAGACGAGCAAATTTGAGTTCAAAAGAAAACACCTTAATTCTAGGGCAATTTTCTCAAGTAACATCCCACCTTTCATTTCTTTCTTTCTCTGTCCTACTGAAAAGTTCGACTAACATGAGTGAATCAAGTTGCACCCTTGAACAGTATGGACTTCTCGTTTTTATCCGGGATGGAGCGAGAAAACGGTAAGTTAGGAAGCCGGGACTTAAAAATATATATGTAGTGTCAAACTTAAGAGCTCGTTTGGTGATTCTTATTTTTGACTCATTGAGATTAATAGTCAACTTTTTCACTAAACACGTAAGTTTTGATTGCGCGCGCTGAATTATGTAATGTTGAAGTTACTTTTCTCGCTGCATTGGCTGAAATTACTCTAGAGGATCATTTTAGCTATTTTTCATATTAATATTTTCTTTATTGTATTAATAAAATATATTTTAAATATATTCTTTTTCAAAAATCAGCAGAATCAGTCAATCTAACTACTTCATGCAGAACTTCGTATATATTTTAGTAGAATCAGTCAGTACAACTGATTAGAGTATTACCAAACAGGCTTTAAAGTTTTACCATAGGTTTTAGCACCTATAAATATTATATTTATACAGATGTATATACACTAACAAAATCTTCGGGGGGAGGAGGGGCTCCTCTACCCCCGCTGTCACCACCCATATCATTTACCTAAAAATATTTATATACACATATGCGCGCGCGCACACAACTATAGTTCTAGTTCAATAAAAAGAGTTCTTTCATTGGAAAAAATAAAAGTACGAAGAGTTTAATGCACCAAACTCCTTTATGATATAAATTTGACGGATTAACCTTTGTGATTTAAAAATGATGTTACACTTATTCATGCGTAGAACCCCTTGAAGAACAAATTTATCATTTATCTTAATAATATAATTGAATATACAAGTAACTTTATTAATTAAGATGCCTAAATTATATAAAAATACTAATCATTTTTCAATTATTTGATAATAAAATTTGTTTATAGAGGGGATTTTGCCATGAATAACTATTAACAGAATGAAATTTAGAAATACACAAGCTAATGCACCAACTTTATATATATTTAGGGGTTTTGATGCATTAAAAAACTCAGTATGAAAGGAAGAAACGATGCACATTCGAGATTATGGACTTATCATGATGCGTATTTATAGTTAGGATACTGCATAGTTCACATTTGCAGAAAATTAATTTTTTAGAAAAATGTCACCATATCTTTCAATCGAATGCCAATACACGATTTTTATGCCAAAATGTCGTTTCTATTTCGATCGAAATCGTTCCTTTTCTCATGAATGCCACGTTCCGAAGGCGAGTATTGTGATTGAGGCGAATACTCCTTGAACCACATTTGTACCGAACGGATGGATAGCGTTTGTCTTGGTGGAGCTGAGCCGCGTCAGTATTATTAGCCCAATATCTCAAAAACTTTATAAAAAAAAAACTTTATAGTACGTGTATTATTGTCGATCAATGGTGTTGTAATTACGATCAAATTCTGATGTGGTTTGATAAATGTCTAGTCATTACGTATTTTATAAGTATGAAAATCTGATATGATCTATTTAAATTTAGTCTGATTTGGTCTGATTTATTTAAGTTTGATTTGAGATTGAATACACTTCAAAGAAAAACATGCTTAAAACTTGCTCAGGAGCTTTTCAATTGCTAGATCTTATGTTATGGTGACACATTAATCCCAATTAAGATTTGAAGTCAAGGGAAATTAATTAAACAGATTTGTTGCTAACTCAATAACAGCAACGGATATCCACAATACGTACCAAGATGTTCCTCATTTTCAACGAGTAGTTCATTTGCAATTTCGTCACTCTCCAAACTTAAATGGTTTCTTTGACAATGTATGTCCAACGGTACAAGCCCCAAATGAAAGATATTTTCTTGGTTGTTAGAGGATGGTCCATTTTTAAAAGACACATTGCTCATAGAGAACTTCATTAAAATAGTTTTTTTCTTCTCTAAGAGTCTGTTTGGAGACTCTGTTTTCGGCTTATCAGGCTTATCAGCCAGCTTTTTCACCAAACACGTAACTTTTACTTTCGCGCGCTGAATCGTGTAATAAGCCGAAAAAGTAAGGTTGGAGTTACTTTTCTGGCTGTATTGGCTGAAGTTACTGTAGAGGACCATTTTAGCTATTTTTACATATTTTTTTTTCTTTAATTTATTAATAAAATATATTTTTAAATTTTTTTTTCTTAAATCAGCAGAATCAGCCAAAACAGCCACTCCAGCCAGAATATCATAAATTTCACCAGAATCAGCCAAAACAGCCGATTTTGGTGCTACCAAACGGGCTCTAAATGTTATTCAAATGAAGCTTATCTATAAAAATATGATCAAAAGTTACTACTAAATATTTTTTTAAAGTTACCACTAAGTACTATCGGTATATTATAGTGTTATAATCATTAAGTGTAAAAGTTGAACATAAATAACAATACTCTAATCTTACATTTATATAAAGAACCTTTATTCTGGTCATAGTTCATAAATATACACGGAGTAATTGTTTTATATAAAAAGCATCAATAAAATTTAAAAAATTGCTCTAATTAGAATTAGAACATACTCCCTCCGTCCCGAAAATGTTGGCCAAAGTTGACTTTCACGTAGATTAATAAAATAAAAATTGTGTGGTTGAAATTTGTGCAGAGGAGAGAGAATTAACTGTAGCCACATATTCCTTACTTTAAATGGAAATGGTCAATCTTTTTGGGACATAAAAAAAAAGAAATTTGGCCAACCTTTTCAAGACGGAGGGAGTAGATAAAAAGACAAAATAGGAGTTAAAATGCTTTATTCCCAATATAAGAGTCATTCGATCCATGTGTCCCACTGAACTTTGTCAATTTTCCTTTTTTGTTTGTTCCAAAAAACTTTGCAACTTTGCTTAGAACAATAAATTTGTGGCTCTGTTCATTTCTCCATCCACTGCACAAAAACTCCAATCACATATTTTATACTATTCTAATTTCTCACCCAATATCAATTTGGCAAAGTTGAGTGGGATGGAGGTATATAAATTTTTACCGTTTCTGCAAGACTACGAGAGTGTTTGCAATAGCTTAAAAAAAGCACTTCTCAGTTTTTGGCTTAACAAAGTACTTATTTACCACACTACCAATTTTTACTTTTTCTCGGCTTGCGTGTGAAAAGTGTTTTTCTCTTTTCTATTACACAAAAAGCACTTATTTTATCAAACACAACCAACTTTTACTTTTCAAAATCACTTTTTTCTCAAACACTATCAACTTTTACTACTTATCATTTTTTCCCAAACACTCTAAAAGTGCTTTTTTAAAGCAAAAACAGTTGCAAACACACCCTACAATGCCTAGAATATCCCTTCTTTCCTCATCGCTCTTTCTAGCTAGAACTCGTAGAAGTCTATGCCTCCAATATTAATTTTCGTCTCCCGCGATTGTCTAGAAGTACTCCAAATTCTATTTCGGCTATGATCCCCTTCTATTATGTCTCTGGCTGCTTTCACATTTCTGATCGAAATTTTCACCAATTTAAAAAATCCTAAGTATTCTTTGTCCTCCTCTATTTGTAGAAAAGAATTCTTGTTTATCCTCAAAATGTCATGAAAATGGCATTTACATAGTAAAAATATGGCAGTCGTCCCCCCTTTCATTTTTTTAAAAATGACATGGTTGCTCTGAAAATGTCATGAGGATCGGATGTCGAATTTTTACTCTTTACAATTGCAATATTCTGCTCTAAAAGTTTAATAAAGATGTAAAGCAAAATTGTCACATTTAAATAAAATAATAGTGACACTTTTTTCAAGTGATGAGAAAGATATATGAATATTTTAAATTAAATTAACGAGAATTAGTAAAAAATATGGAAATCCAAAAGAGAAGAAATAATATGGAAGAAGAAAACTTAACATAGGAGCATGAGAAGAAGAAGCTTATCCGAGCATGTAGCAGAGCCATCGCCAACATTCACCGCAACCATTGAACATCCGTCCATTGTCTGCACTCATCGCAGGCCTCCAACTGAAGAAAGATACAAGAGCAATTTTGCAGTCCAAATGTTCTTATATTTAAACTACTTTTTCCCAAATTAATTAGCATACTTCTTTAATTTTTGGGACTATCATACTAACTTCACGATTCACACATCTTATTTTGTTATAATAACTTCTTTATTAAGACTTTTTTTTATCTTATACATTAGAGCATGATATATACTTCGTATACTTCTTTCTTTACCGCTTGTCTCAGTTCCGGCATGGTCGTTTGTCTTTGGTTTCTTTGCAATTTTTAATTTGGCCTTTATGAGCTTAGAAGATGATAATTGTTTATTTTTAGAATTTTGTGATGCTTTCCCCCGATTACAAAATGAGCCTTCGGTTGAAAATCAACACGCGCAATGTAGTCCGCTTTCTTATGCTCTTCCTCAACAGTTATGGAATGCAGTAAAGATTTTCAAGTGATTTTTTCCATTTCATGTTTTAAAGTCATACCAAAATCTTCCCATGATTTGACAAATTTTTCTATGACCACCATCACTTTAAATTTTTCCGGCAATCCCATGTACGCTTCATGAAGAGAATGTAAGATAAGCTCAAATTATTGTGTCTCTTCTAGTACTGATTATCATACTTTCATGTCAAATCGAAGGAATTTAGAAACAATATACTCCCCCGGTTCACATTCTTCTTTACACTTTCCGTTTTGGGCCGTCCCAGAATCATCTTTACACTTCCTTATTTACCTTATTTGGCAAAACAAATCTACACAAAATAGTGCCAAACAGTGCAAAACAGTGCCAAACGGTGCCAAACAGTGTCCAAACAGTGCCAAACAGTGTATTCTACAATAAAGTCGAATTTATTTCCTTAAAAACCGTAAAGTCAAACTGTAAAGAAGAATGTGAACCAGAGGGAATACTTTTGAAGACCGTGGTCATCGGTACTATATTTCCTATCCAACTCAATCCCAAAGATCTTTGGCTGTCCCCATAGAGGGTGCAATAGACATCAAACAACATGTCGAATAAACCCATGAGAATCATGTCTTTAGCAATTTCGTCCCTCTCACGCCAAATTTCATGACATTCAAGACTTTTGGGATCAGATTCGACAACTGGAAGACACACCGTCATGATCACCAAAAACAAGCCCTTGGTGATTAACCAAATTTTTATGGGTTGTTGCCGACGCTTTAAAATATGCCCAGTAAAATTTTCGGGCATCCCAGTTAAATCCACCCCGTGCGAGCCCGTAGCAATGTATTCAGGTCTGTCTCCTAAATTAATGACAGACAGAGAATTATCATTTTTTTAGGGGCACCAAAAACATTCTCAACACCAACAGTTTCATTGTTAACATCATTTTTCAAGTTTGCCATTTTTGGATAATCCAAAACTCGAAATATAATCTACTTCTTCAAGATTGTTAGAAAATTGATATTTAAATGCGAGATTAACCAAATAAAAATCCCGAATTTAAACAAATCACCAGACAAACCGCCAAATGCAGAAAAAGTAAACAACAATAAAAATAATTACTAGAATAATTAAAATGAATAAAGAGAAAAGAAGAGAAAATTTATAACAAGATTGTCTATTAAAACGAACTGACCTTGAAGAAAGATAGTCCTCATATTCCGATAGCTATTCGGACAGGTCTGACTAGCTCGCTCCCAGGATAACCCTACTCTGTTTTAGATTTGTAGCTACCTTGACTGGAACCTTCGACCGTTGCTTGATTTGCCAATAATTAGATATGAGTTTGAGAATAGAGAATTGTGAACTATGGATAAACTCTCCAAATGGATTGAATTTAGAAAACGAAAGTATTTTCCTTCATGTATTAGAAAGCAAGGTACTGCTTTCACTTTTAAAAATGAGAAAAGAATGATTACACCTCACTCTATTCCACCGTATCAATATTTTTTTGATGATTCAGGTGTTAGTGCTTGCGCTCCCTTAATCTTGGAGTCTATTGATTGTCCTACAAAGTCTCTAGACAGTTAAATCCGGATCTGATCACAGTCAGCCTTCATCGGTACTAGTTCCACAGGACGAATCTAGCAGGACTTCCTTTCACTAAATCCAGAGGGTCCTCCTACCACACAGAGCTTCCTTTCAACTGAATCTAGAGGGTCCTCCTACCACGTGAACTTGCATTGAGCCTGAATTTCCTTGTCCTCCCTTCTTAGCCGCTGTGCAACTCCGTGAAGGTAGAAAGAATCATTGGGAGCAAGACCTCCCTCATCTTCCCTTGGTGCATAACAGATTTCGAACACGAGACCTCACATATGCACCGGTAACCTCCCAACCAGCTGGGCTGATATGCTTGATTATTGCACCGTATCAATAGTATAAGGTCTGGGTTTTGTATTTGAAGTCCCAAGCAAGGAGAAAGAGCGCTTGTACGTATTCGGATAGAATTTGAACTCATCTAACATATTGCTTTAATGGAAATCAAATTTCATTAGTCATTAAACCTGAGTGTTGAACGGCAACCACACAGCAACAAATGTTCATAACGGATCCATATTGAAGGATCTCATCAATAGTATTAAGGATAATCATTTTCAAAAAAAAAAATTATTGCATTGCATAGATAATAAACTTTAAATTATTATAGCATTAATACAAATATTAAAATATAATATGCACCATATATATGTGTGTGTATGTGGTGCATATTATTCTAAAAATAACAATATCATACATACTACTATTGTAATATTAAGAAAACGTTTCATGAGTCATGATTCATGAACACCCTCCTTGGTGGCCGGACAAAAATTACAATTCAATAATAACCGATTCATGAGGTTAAACAACGTAGAAGTTATTAAAAATGTATTGGTTGATGTCTTTGTCATCGTCTAATTTAAACTTAGAACGTACTACGTAATAGATTTAAATGTCGTTAGGGATATGTATGTATTAATGTCATTTTTTGAATAAAATTAGCAGCGTAGCCCTACAGTAGCGGAAAAAATTCGCCCCGCTACACTAGGGAAAAAAATTTCGCCCCACTACACTAACAAAATTTTTTTCACCCCCTACACTACCGAAAAATTTTGCCCCCCTTGAATCGAAATCCCGGATCCGTCCCTGGTTAGAGAGTCTCTGAAATTATGACATTTAATTCGATCACTTATAATCTGTCCGATCAGGCACACATATAAGTGAAAAAATTAAAACGTCACATTATCTTATATGATACTTGAACAACGTTCCTTATCACATAATGATGATAAATACTTTTATGAGACAATTTATCCTATATTACAGAACAGATAAATTCATTGTTTTGATACATCACTATACACTCTTTACAACTATGGATTCTAATTTAAATCCAAATATGTAAATTTTTCTTTGAAATATTATCAGCCTCCTCTCCATATTTAAAACAAGTACTCCCTCCGTCCCTCAATACTTTGCCAAGTTTGACCGGCACGAGGATTAATAAAGTAAAAACTGTGTGGTTGAGGTTTGTGCAGAGGAGAGAGAATTAACTTGAACCACAAATTCTTTACTTAAAAGGGAAAGTGGCAAAGTTAGTGAGACGTCCAAAAAAGGAAAGTTGACAAAGTTATAAGGGACGGAGGGAGTATATCTTAGGACACAGTACTCTGAGAAACTAGATTGAGGCGGTTCTCTGATAAGACATGTCTTCGTCTCTGAAGAGTCCATCTCTTTTAAGCTGGAGGTTGAGGCCCCTCTTGGTTCTGAGGTGGTTTTTAATTTGAATTGTTATGTTTTAATTTTAGTTTTTAAAAACAGGATATTCTTGTGGTTGTTTTTGCAAATTAAGGTGGATCATGTGAAGTCTTTTTCATAATCTTTGGCTCATTTGTGCCCTATTTCGAATCAATGACTTATATTGCTTCATACACGGTGATTCATCATTTAAATTCTGGTTCAAGAGATGATGATCGGGAAGTGACTTGTTGTATTGTAGCTTGTCTGATTGAATTCTAGTTCTCGAATATACTATGTATAAGTCATTTTCATTGAAAAAACAATTTGTTTACTTAAACTCAAAAGGACTAATTTTCCCTTTTGTAGAAACATTAGTAGTATCCCTACACAATTTAGAATTTCAAGGGTATATCTTCACCTGTAAATATTCTTTAAAGATACTAGAATTCCACCCGTGCGTTGCACGGGATGCAATCAATAACTATTGATTTCTTTGAAAAGACAAAGAAATGATATGATAATTATTTAAGTTTATATAAAAACAAATTATAAAGATGCTTCTTGCAATTGTTCTAAACATCATTTGAGCCTCAATATATGTCTTTCGAGTTTAATGATGATAAGGTGTATATCATTACAAAATCAACACAAATGATTAATATTTCTTATCAGGTTCACGGTCATCATTACATTTAATAAATACTTCAACCGAGAAGAAGTTGTTACTATTTAGACCGCACGCAACATATAACTGCCAATGGGTAAAATAAGACAACCTAAATAAACGTTAATTTTTTGAAAACTTCACTTTTATTTGAACCCAGAAGAAATTGTCATGTGTTCATTTATTTGAAAACCTCCCTTTCTAATACTTTAGTCTAACCAAATATTGGTGATTTAATTGAGAAACCACTACAATTGAACAAAAATATATAAATAAGGTTGCTAATGAACCTACAATCATACTTTGCAACTCCTCCTACTTAAAAAAAACACTTTTGGAGTGATTTGAAAAAAGTGATTAGTAGTAAAAGTTGATAGTGTTTGAGGAAAAAGTGATTTCGAAAAGTAAAGTTGGTAGTGTGTGGTAAAATAAGTGCTTTTTGTGTCATGGAAAAGGGACCGACACTGTTCCGGTCCGGCCCGAACCGGTTCCCCGGTCAGTGACTGGTTCGGGTTGGCCCGACCCGAGGGGTTTCCGGGCCAGTCTCGTGTCACCCAATCATGAACCGGCCCGGCCAGGCCGGGCCTGGGTCACCCAAATCATGAACCGGCCCGGTTCTGGGCTTTTATTTATTTATTTTTCAATTTTTTTAAATCCTAGGGTTGGGCTGCGTATTCTGGGCCATTTGGGGTGGTTTGGGGGGTCGGGGTGAGGGGGTGGGGTGTAATTAGAAAAAGGTAAAAAAAAATTGTAATGGGCTCGAGGCCAGGCCCGGACCCGGTGGCTACCCGGGCCAGTCCCGGGTCCACCTTTTCTGAACCGCCGGCCCGTCTGGGCCTAGGCCCAACCCGGACCCGGGCCGGCCCGGGCCGAATCCAGGCCTAGTTGCAAACCAACCCTTATAGTAAATCCTTCTGTGTTTCACCTTGAAGTTTTCACATTTTATGTTCTCACTAAAACCCCAATATTTTGAGATTCACGGAGAATCTATAACTTTATGCTTTAGTTTAGTGTTGCCCTATTTTATAAGTCCATTTTTATCAAATTGTGTGAGAATAATAGTGAGGCTTACCTATTTTAACACTTCAAACTAAATGCATATCAATTTGTATATCTAATGATTCTGTTGGGTAAATGGACCAAACAGGGGTTCGGCCCAATCACCCCCAAACCGATGTACGTCGCCTAGCCCACGGGTGACCTTAGCCCAGAGGAGATAGGACGAACGTCGGTTTCCCGGATAGCCGCACAAGGTCCCAACCGAGGGTCAATTAGCACATCCACGACGAACGTCGTCAGCCGAGGCCCAAATCCAGAAGATCGTTTCACTCTATCAAGGGCCGCAGACGAGCGGCCCCCAGCCTTCCACCGCCTGCTGAGAGTTGCCCTCAGTTCTACCAGACGATCATGGTCAGGGATTAGGCGGGGAACCCAGATTCTGGCGGGAAGCGCATTTAATGCTGGAGATTTGGTGCTTGGACCACAGCCACTAACAATCCTCCACGTCATCAGGGCTAACTGCCCATTGGCGGGTATAAATAGTAGCATTTATTTCATTGTGAGGGGTTGGCAACTTTCTATTCTTAGCATTCTAGCTTTAGCATTCTTACTCGCAACATTTCTACTGCCTTGTAAGACGAACGGCCGGCGTGCCCTTTTTAGCAAGTAGATTGTACTTAGGGGAGTTATTACGAAGTTAATAATACCTATTTACATTGCCTGCTATTCCCCTTGTTTCCTGATCCATCTGATAGTTGTTGGGCTAGATATTCACATACTCATACACTCACTCCACTCGAAATCCTTGGGCTTACGTGTTGGGTCCGAGGGTTGAAGGAATTAACCTCAACAGATTCTAATCCATGAGTCATGAGACAAATAAAAAATCAGTCTTAATAAACAACACAATGTGAGTTCTCAACCTAAAATTGTACAACAGACAATAAGAGGTAAGATACTACGCAGCAAGTAAATTAATTAAAACTTGAAGGAAAAGTATTTAAAAAAGTAAAACCACGAAGTATAGAAAAAAGAATGTATTTTTGGAAGAACATCTAGATCAAGATGAATAACATTTATGATTTATCCGTTTTGACAGTTTCAATTTCAACTTCCTATTAGTTGAGTCTCGTTAACACTTCAATTATGATATCCATGTAACTTTAATCTTCCAAAGACTACCACCATGAGTGTGGAGTCCCAATAATTTTCTTGATAGGAAAGTGTGTACAATAACATCAAGAATGATTGAAAATTATTTCAATCCAAGGATCTGCAACAATGCATTTTGTTAGTGTTCTAATTTTTAGGTGTTCGGTTGTAACATTGGTTAAGTCATGTATTTTCACTTTTAAAATTTGAAAGTCTAAGTTATCTTTCAATACTTCTCAAAGGAGTTGTAGTTTGTAGTCTAATTAACTTTATATCCTTGATTCTCATTAAATTAAACTTTGTTTTTTTTTCTTTT